CACACACACACACACACACACACACACACACACACACACACACACACACACACAGGAGATGAATGCAAATGTGCATGACAAAACGTGATCCTATCCTTAAAGAAAACGAGAAGCAACAGTAAACCATTGATCCATCTGAGAATGGAGAGGCAACTAACTGACCAAGTCCTGCATAATATAGATCTAACCCCTTCCCCCCAAAACACTTTAACTTTTATTAAATATTCATCTGTATTCATGTAAAATCAATAAAAAAATACACATAACAGTCAAGGATCTAAGCGATCAATAGCAGTCCAAAGGTTTTAGGCAAATAAGCTACAGCTTATTCATGGTAAAACATTATTAATATTATTGTTACTCATATAGATTTAGATTTATAGGTATATATAAATACAAATATATTTATAGATGTATTTGTTTAAAGTCTGCAAGCACAAATAAGCTGCATTTATTGAACTTTAGTATAACAGTCAAAGAGAGGATGGCTGATGATGAGGTGGAATGGGAAGCAACCTCAAGCGGTCAGACTACCCTGTTTTTTTGTGTGTGTTTTTTAAAATGAGCCTTTCTTCAAGATTCTTCACCTCACAGGTCCCTCACCTAAAAATCTAAGGGTTTACTTCCATCACTTCCTGTCCCTGTGCTGAGTTCCTGTCAATCTGAGAATGGAACGTAGAATGAGACGCCCTTCTCACCCCCGAATGGAACCAGGATGTCAGATGAGCACTTTAGCAAAGATGTCCTCATTGTGACAAGATCACATTCACAATAAAGCTTTCATATTTTTTTTATAACTTTTTTTTCTATATAGATATTTATATACCTTTTCTGTTTATTTTCACACCTGTTTCTCCCAACAATGACAGTGCGCCAAAAAAAAAAAAAAGCGCATCTGCATCTCAGGAGTGGTAACCCATGACAACACGCAGCTAGCTCGCGCAAAACATGGCCGCCAAATGTGAAGGGGGGTCCCCTCACACGTGAACGGCTCTTCGACACGTCTCAAGAAGTGCCCATGAAAACCTGTTCGCCTTGCCACTTCGAATCCTTTTCACATCAAATTTTTTGTTGATCTTTTGAGTTTTCGACTGGCCAGCGGTTACAACACGATGCTCCACAAAGGAGAGAGAGAGAGAGAGAGAGAGAGATAGAGAGAGAGAGACAGAGCAAGAGAGAACCAACTAGCACTCACAGGAGCCAGAGACCTCCCCCAGTCAGAGCCGCCTCAGACACACAGAGAGAGAGGCAACATCCCCCCCCAAAAAGAGAAGCGAAAGCTTTGCCACTTGCTCACGGGCGTGGGCACAGGCAAGGGCCGGGTGGGAGGTCAGGGGGCCAGCCGCGGCCGGCCCTGCAGAGACAGGAGGACAGAGACGGGCAGGGCCCAGCAGAGGACAGACATGCAGCTGCGGCTGCTGCTGTGGAGGCCGGGCTGGGAACTATAGAGGGAGGTTTTACGTGAGGAGATCTGCGGGTAGATGGAGTTACGGCGAGACAGCAACTGGATCAGCATGTTGCCATTCCTGTTGAAGTCTGAGTCCCCTGCAGACACAAAGAGGATCGAGAAATTCAGACGGGAAGAGAACCCTCTGAATGTTTTTTCTGATCAACTTGCCTATCTTTCTTGACTGATATAGGGGAATGTTTGTGTAAGTATCCAAGGATAGTTACAGTAAGGAATTGCTGAGATCTGTTGACATGGTGATATTGCTAAAAGAGTTGCGGGGCTTGTGGCTGTATAATTGTTTTACTTATCATGTTTATAGCCCCGCCATACTGAACTTCTTTTTAAAGTTGTCTTTTATTAAATGTCATTTTTTTTGCACAATGATAGTATTGCAGATAAGTATATTGGCCTAAGCTATAAAAATAGATCCCACATTGTATTATGCTGAATTTGTAGTACAGTTATTTGTAAATAAATGCTTTTAAGTGATTTGCACATATGACAGTGTGTTCTGGCAGGTTTTGTATGTGTTGACGATCCCAACACTCACTGTGACATGGATCCAGGCGGCAGACTCTGATGGTTTCAGGCTTACTGTCCAGACACAGGCCGATGCTGTTGTCCCTGGTGTGGCACAAAGCCTGCCTGTTCTGCGTCCCGTTACCACATGTCACAGAGCACTGGAGAGACAGTAAATGAACACCAACAAAGACTATTATGACAAATGACTTAGTAAATACATTATTATATCTTGACAAAAGGTAAAGTAGTACATTCAAATTAAGCGTACATGAACATCATGACAGTAAATCATTATCCCCGTTTTTTTAAGTAGTTACAGGCAGGGTTCGTGTTATAATCAGAGCTTTATGGGGGTCTTTAAAATTAACGTTTGGGGCGGAGATAAATATATCAATTCACCTTTGAGGTGAAGTGTAGGCATATTGTCATTCAAGAGAGAATACTATGCGTAGTTCTTTTGGAAAATACGTTTTTCTTTTAGCCTATTTACCTTGTTAACGTAAATTATACTCATTACCTTGACACATGCATTATTTGTGATTAAAATAATGGTTGTTGGTAATGTATTAGCAACCCCCACAGATGTATGATTTCACTGCTTTCATAGGAGCTCAGACCCCTCCTTATAGGATGCTCAGCTCCCATTGGCTCCACCATAACTCGCACCCTGGTTACAGGGAACATCACATCATCTGATTCTCAGAGGCTGGTCTAACCTGCCAAGACTTCAGTTTGGAGAATTCCTGATGTTAAAAACACAGAACATCACACAGAAATAACAGCTGTTGAGATTCAATACAAAAACACCTGCCTGTTTTCCCTGCAAAAAAGCTAAATCGGCCAAACATTTTTAAATTCCCTGTTTGATTTCTGACTACTTTTGACTCATATTCAGCCTGCGTACCTGTGACCACGGTCCGACCCTCCACTGGGTGGGGCAGTTGTGTCGGTTACAGGGTCTGCGGGTCTCGGGCCGTTCGTCGTTGCAGTGCTTATTGTGAATGGAGCGTGTGGTGTTGTCATCTGACGGCTGGACACAGCTGATCGAGCGGATTTGCATCCCTGTCTTTCCACATAGTTTGCTGCAGTTCTGCCACTCTCCTGTCACCCAACTGGTGAACACCACAGGGGAGAGAAAGCAGGAGTTCTGAGGGCATTTAACATTTAAATATGCTTAAATAAACAATGAATACGGGGAGAGAAAGGGCAAGCTCAATGCAGAAAAAGTTAACTTGTGTGTGTCAAAGATTGTGAAATATTACTACAGTTGGGGACAAATAATGCATACATTGGTGGAGGGCAGGGCTTCTGATTGCAGTCTCTGGTGTCTCCTCTAGGTTTCATGTTGGATTTATTACAGAAGCTCTTGTGGACCATCTTACTGTCAACTTTTCTTCTGCAGCCATATCGAAGGTACTGTTTTCCTACAGCCAGAAGGGCGGGAACATTTCAGAAATGTAAGCAAATAAACATAAATAATTATACGCAAATTTGAAATAGTTAACCTCAGGGACGAGACATTCAAAACAACTGTACCTCCACCGCAGAGCTTGGAACAGTAGGACCACTTCTTTGGAGCCCACTCATAGGCACTGTCCTCCACTAGCATGTTGTTCTGAATGCCAGAGTCACTGTCCATGTTCATCATGTACTTATATGACAAATTCACGTCCTCGTCTCCATGCAATTTCATCTACAAACAGAAACAAGTGATAACACTTAACATAACAGACATCATTTCAGAAGTTTGATTTGGTATGTAAAGCATTACAACATGTAATACTGGCTCTATAAATGTGAATGTTACCATGATCAAAATTCCATGTCTGAGTGGACCGGTGGTCTGAAGAGTCTCCTTGTCGTTGTCATTCTCATATTCCCACTCGACGCCCTTTTCTATGACCGAGTGGGATTCTGGGTAATCGTTTTCCCCGTTCAAGAAGAACAGTCCTGATGCCACGTTCTTTACGGCTGAAGATGGGTGGGAAATATATATTGTTTACACTTGTAATTTTATCACAGAAGTCTGCCATACAAAATATAAACTGGAATAGACAAACAATGTTCAGTTGAGTACCTAAAGTGTGTGAGGTCACTTTCAGCTCTTGGATCAGCAAGTGTCTCGCTCCTCTGGGGATTTCAAGAACTTTCAGGAAACCTGAAATATAACAGACATGTGGTTCGTGACTCCAGCATCATCAAAAGCTCATTATACAACATCTGATTCAGAGAATTTTGGTCTTGTAATGCAAGTTTGTTCCGACCTCAAGAGTGATACAATATACTAATAAACATTTGGTCATGGAGTGAGGTTTGACGTAACTTCTTGGCAGTGCTCGACTCTCGTGGAAACATATTAACTCGGATCTCACTGATGTTTGAACAATGTTGCAAATATTCCTCAAGAGGGCGATGTTTAGCTGGAGACAAGTCAACATGGTGTACATACTACAAGAAAAGCACATTGGCCAACTATTAATCCTGAACTCACCAGCATGACAGACAGCAGCTACACCGATATCATGTCTGCCTCAGATTTAGAGTTATTGTGACATCAGTGCCTGTTTACCTTGTTTCTTGGCAGTACGTGTGATGGTGTCTTTGAATGTTTTGCAGCTGGAGTTGTCTCCTCCGCACACTCCACACTTGTCCTCCTGCTTTGAGGAGCCGACCACACTGTCACAGCCCACTTTCTGTTCATGAGGACATGGAAAGTTTAAGTAATGAGGATCTGACTCCATGCAGCTGTTTTGCTCTCTCTCACACACACATGAAGTCACTAACCTCACACTCCCCGCGCACACACACACTGTGCGGGTCCTTGTACGAGCAGCGCGTGCCGTCCAGGACCATCCTCTGCATGGAGACCACATCTTGTGTCTCCTTGGATTGGCAATGCAGTTGGCAGCGTTTGTTAGCTGGGAAATAAAATATACAAACATGACCCAGTTGGCACATTAGAGATCCATTTTGATGATTTCATCTTTACAACTAACATGTGATTTTCTTTTTTCGGAATGAGCCCTCGGTGAGTCAGCGTGGCGCTCTGTTTCATTGTGTCTGTCTGTGTGACTCATACTACAACTACATGAGCCTCCAGAGACAAAACCTGGCAGTTCATCCCAGTGAGAAGGAACACTCCTACTTCATAACGTTTATTACACATGGACATAAACCAGAGACCTTGTCTTATGGCGCTCTGACACTAATAAGCAGGTGGCAGACGTGCTACTGCAGTATTATAATATGTGGAGAAAACACACTTTTCTCAGGTTAAAATGAGAAAGCACAGACTGCAAGTCTCTTTGTCAGTGTGTGAAGAACGCTGTGATGATCGAGAGAGCCTGAATGTGCATTACAGGTGTTGCTATACTTGTGAGTGGGTATTTTTATAATATATATTAAACTATTTATATATATACCTCCAAATCTGAGTATGTATCATTAACCACTTATTCCAAGTAGATATATTGAACATCATCACCGCACATTTAAAGATCCTCTCAATACCATAAATATTGCTACTTTTACATTTCAAAGTGTTAGTTTTCTACATTTAAAAAAAAAAAATCATTTCTGAAATGCAAGTGTTCAGTTACATGTAGATGGTTGAAAAAAGGTTTAGTATTTCGAATGGGTATGTTCCTAAAGTTTACTTTATTAATTAATAATTATATTATCAAACTTAATGTTTCAATGTTTCTGGGAGGTCCAAAGTGCTAAGACCACCTGAAATCCCCTCCATCCCGCACACTGCTCTATGAGGAAACATCTGTGAGACTTCAGGAAATAATTTGGGGCTTTGATGTAATGTGGTAGACCAAAGGGTTGTATTAATCCCTCTGAACAGCCACACACACAGGACAGCCTCACATTTGCTCAGGAGTATATAAAAGTATAACTGCTGACTTTGGAAAATAACTCAAAAGAGACAAAAAAGCCACAGTGTGTCAAACGACTCTAAACAAATACTACAATTTCACACTCAGAGCAGACACACTCTTTTTCTCTCCTAACATTATCTGAAACTCAGGAGATGACAGACCATGAATGGAATTCAATTTCGCCTCCCTGTTCACTTTTCTTCCTCTCCTACTCACACACAGACACTTTGGTCGCACACTAACACACACTCACGGAAAGGTAATTTGAGACAGAGAAAGCCTTGCTGAAAAATATGGCATTTAGAAATGATAAGATATGGAGAAAAAACTATTTAGCAAGGTCCCTCTTAGCGTAGCGTGTGCAGCATGACCTCTGATTAGATACGGAGGTAGCTAAGCACATTACTCTAGGGCTGCCCTTTAGTTGGATGGTAATTTAATTACCAATCAGAAGCACAGTGACACCTCCACTTGGAGACAGGGTAGGTCTGACAACAAAACGCAGAAACATTTTCAATATTCTCAATAACTAAAAGAGGTTTTAGGTCATTAAGAGCTACTCTTATAGCTTGTGTACAGTATGAGTGCCAACTCATAGATGGAAAAAAAGTAAGTAAAAGACGGGGGTTGGTCAAGTTTAGATGACATCAGTGATTGTGTGGAGAGTAAAAAAGACAATGTTCAAAGAAGACTGTTTTTAAAGGGATCTCAAATGGATGGCATGTTTTTATTGGAGGGCGTAGTCGTAGCTCTAAGCTCTACTCAGCAGGACATCCAGATGTCAATGGCCATAAATAAAAAAACCTCTTAAACCGAACCACATTTAAGAGTTATGTGTTAGTTTCCTCTTTTTGGCTTTCATACGTATTTACTACTTCCACCATGTATCATCACTTTTGGTTTTTGCTCTCTGTCTGCTATCTTTAATCTGACAGCCTCTGTCTGTGTCCATCTCTCCACCAAACGACTTCATCCTTTTTCCATCTGCGTGGTATACTCACGGTCTGTGTGTTCATAAGGCAGCCATTGGTGCTTGTTGCTGTGGATTTCAAAGCGGGGGTCCCAAGCGTGGCATTGCTCCTCTCGTGTGTCGCTGTAGATATCCTCGCATTCGTTGGTGTTGCACATCTGGAACTGGTAAGTCGCGCCAACGCAGGTGCGGCCTCCATTGGCTGGTCTGAGAGGGGAGCAGGCAGGAGGAAGCATTTATTAGCATAAGTTGAGGTATGGTTTACTTCTTAAATTCATTGGATTCTTTTGGACAATATAGAATAGAAATGACATATTAAGCACTTGAATATAGTGTTTAAGTAAAAGGCACTTAGGTACATATTGATATTTGGTAAAACATTTTATGTTGGCATGATATTTTATAAGTTCAGATTTTATTTAAGTTTATACCACAGCATTTATATAGTTTAAATACGACCTTTATAAAGTTAAGTTGTTAACCATTACATTGTTATTAAAGTGTCTATTATTTACAACAGCTAAACAGCAATCTTTCTCTCTGCAACTATATCCAAAGTCAGTGCAACAAATATAAGAGCTTAACTATCAAGCTCTCATATTGTTGTATACTTGCTAAATCACAATTTGAGCTTCACCTGAATTTGGAATAATTAGGCACATACAGAAAACACACACTATTAAACACAGTTTCATACCTTGGATTGTCACAGTCGCGTGTGCGAAACTGTACTCCTCCACCACAGGTGCGGGAGCACTGACCAAACTCACTCCATGACCCCCAGTTTCCATCTTGCTTTATGATGTCAGGTGTCAACCAGATGCAGTGACCTTTAAAGCAATGCTGCAACAGGCAGACAATAAAGAAAGATTTGATTAATACTTTCCTGTGTGCTAGGACTTTATTTATTTTTTGTGTAAGATAAAAAAAGCGTAAGAATACCTTTCCATTCCCACACATGGTGCCATCAATGGGCGGACCTTTCTTGGTCTTGCAGAAGAAGGGATTGTCTGGGTGGCTACACCACAGCTGCTTACATGGGTCAAATGTGCGATACTGCAGGGCACAGAGAGAGACTCACTCTCAGAATTCAAATAATAAAATACACACAGGCATTTAATACACAACTCAACCATCATGAGACACCCCGGAATGAGATTAAACACTCAAAATAAAAAATTAAAAGATGAGAATATAAATATCACTACAACAAAAACAGTATTATACCCAACAATTACACAACAACACCGATCTTTCACTTTGTCACTGCACTGTACACTAAACTCCACTGAGAAACACACAGCCATACATGCAAACTAAACCAAAGGATGAGAGAGAGACAAGACTCTCAGAATGAGACCGCCTCTGGTTTAATTAGGTCACCACGGAGGGCAGAGGGCAGAAGGTTAAATAGCCAAAAGGTGAGGTCCCTTAGACCTTAAAATGCCCCTAGACACAGATCAAGGACCACATTCTTCTATTTGTCTGATATGAACCACTGATGAGGATACCACCAAACTGACCCGCAGCCCAGTGTCTGAGGGGCCTGCCCTGCTCCCTCCTTTCTACACACTTTCATACCCGCCATGACCACAGGGGGCCTGGCAGGTCAGAGGGCGAGTCACAATCAATGGCTAGACTGTGGTAGGTAATCACCAATGACATCAGACTGGAGGATCCTAAAAGCTGAAGTGAAACGTGGAAAAACAGCCTCTGTTCTGGCTCAGTCCTTTCCCCTTGAATGGGAAAGACATCTTTCCAACCTTTTCCACTCATTTATAGTGGTGAGTGTTCCAATATAATGAGGCTCTTCCTGCCAGCGCTGCCGCAATATAACACAGATTTGCTGGAAAACAGTCAGGATAGGGTACGGTTCAGCTGTTGAACTGCACCACAGCTACTGAACCAGAATAACCACATTTTTTAAGGATTTTACACCCACTATCTCTGAAAATAAGCATTTTAGAATCCTGCAGACAAACGTCCAAAATATGACGATGGGTACCGCACAACAGAGAAAGAAATACAGTAAAAATGTAAAATAAGGAGCAACATTACGAACAATTACAACTTCAGAGGACAAATAGAAAACGAAAATCTGAGAAAACAAATGACGGGCCACATGTCTTCCGGGAGGTGGGGTCACCTTACCTGGGTTCCTGACTGGCCCGCCTTTTGTAGCTGAGGGGAATGGGTTTGACAAGAGAATAGAGGGTAATCTAGCAATGTGTGCAAAGCCCCTGAACAAGACCTTTGTCAATCAAGCCATAGCTTTCCCACAGTCATAGAGTGGGTGAAGGGGACAGGGGGAGGTTAGACGCCTGGTGAAATGCTGAAGCTGCGTGTATGTTGTCTACTGTTAGACGCTTTGTGTTTTTAAAATTGACAGGATCATCTAAAGGCACTGTGGTATCAAGATAAGTGTAGTGTTCAAATATATATCTTTTAATTATCATATTTAAAATTAAAGGAATACTTTATCCACAAACTGACAATTTGTATATCAATAACTCAGGCTGTTAACACGGTGTACGAAATGTAGAAAAATCTTGATAAATTGATGCGCAGGCTACATTTAACAAACGCAAAACTATACTTAACATTGGTTTACAATTTCTTACTCAACGTTTGCAGTATCATTTAAGTCTCATTTAGCCATTCATATGAACACTAGATCCCAAACACATGCATCTTCACTAAAACATTACTATTTAAAATAAATTCTTCATTCACAGTGGAGGTTTGGGAGAAAACCAAAAAGGGTTTGTTTTTTCCCAGTTACAAGGGCTGAGTAACTGATATACAAATGGTCAATATCTGAATGTAGTATTAATTGGATAACAGAACAAAATAAAAAGCTATACAAAACATTTACCTGCTTTTAAGCAAGATGCCAATCCCACCAGTGGCAGTAGAGGAAGCAGAGGACATCAGAAGAATTTGAATAGCTGTATATGTATGACTCTTTCTTTACAATGTAGATCAGAGATGGATGTCAGTGCTGCATTCCGTTCACTAGGAAAACCTTCAGAGCTCAAAAGATCCCATACAAGTGTGACTTCCACAGTGAAATTCAGCAGACTCTGAATGTGTTGAACAGACTAAAGGTGAGTTTAACTTAACTCTGAAAAGCTGTATCATCTCAGATGATATAGTGTTGCTACGGTTGATGTGTGGCAACTTAAGTTATCTTCAGAGCGGTTAGTTAGTGTTAGCAACTTTAGCTATGTTAGTAAAATCAACATGAAACAGTAGGGATGTCTTACCGCGGTGCACATCGTGTAGCCCACACCGAAGTCGAAGCGACATTGTTCGTTCATAGAATAATGCAACCCAGGAAGCTGAGGCAGCGAGGGCCAGTTGTGGTCAAAGGGGTCGTCACGGAGACAGTCGTAGGAACTGCAAGAGGAGTAAAAAAATGGGATGACATTTATTATTATCTCATTTTTTTGTTCGTGTCATTGTGCGATACCAGAACTAAGGCGGCAACCAACAATTATTATCTTCTTAAATTAATCTGATGATTATTGTGTCGGGGAAAAATGTGGTCCAGAAAATGTCATAAAATAGAGAAGAAATCACAATTTCCTTCAAATCACTTGTTTTGTCCAACCCCAAAATATATTCAATGTACTATTACAGAGGTTTCAGGAAACCAGCAAATATTCACATTGGAAATGTTTTGGCACTTTCATTAACATCAGGATGAATTAATAGAAAGTGTTTCTTTTAATTTTCCAATCAACAACTAAGTTTAGCTTGTATACACTTGAATACAAACATTGCTTACATTTAAATATTTATTTATGGCATTGTATTGTATTTTTGTGTGTGTGTGTGTGTGTGTATGTGTGTGTTTGTGTGTGTCTGTGTGTGTGTGTGTGTGTGTGTGTGTGTGTGTGTGTGTGTGTGTGTGTGTGTGTGTGTCCAGGGCTCCACTGGGGCTATAGACATGTAGAGAGGAGAGGAAGAGATAAGGCTACAGCAGCATAAGTGTATCACAGAGTACCTATCCAGCAATAAAATCACTTGTATCATCCTGTGGGGGTAATCCCTGCCCTTCTCCTTTCCTGCCATCCCTTGCTTTATCTCTGTTTCTTTCCTCTCTTCCCCTCCTCTTCTCCTCGGCACAGACAGGAGGATAGAGTTACAGCCATGAAGAAGAGGATGCTACCCCCATCGTCCGGTCTCTCTGTTTATGAATGAGGGAGGGCTATCATTGATTGTTTATCTTTGCCTGGACTTCCCATGATTCCGTGCAGCAACCTGCTGGGAGGAAGGCTGATTGCATAACGGGCAGAGTTTCTGTGTGCTTTGGTGCTGAACTGTGAAGGCGTGCGACTTGAAAACACTCCCCTGGGATGCTGCATGCTTTTAGTTCCTCTTTTGCTCAGTCCACTGGAATAACAGGCTCCGGGCATCAATGCGTGCTGATGAGTGCGTGTGTGTGTCTGTGAGTTTCTTTATACAGTAGGTGTGTGTACGACTTGGCAGTGCTTACTGTGGGTACTTGAAGCGATTGTATCAAAATCCTAGAATCAAAGATAGTTCTGACAGAGAGACAAGAGGCAACCACCTTGCAGGAAGGGCACCAGAGTCGACTTTTTGGAAAACATTGTGTCCTGACGGGTCTCACCTTGCCGTAGCCCAGCATGATAATCCGCACCAGCACCACGTTGATCTTTGCTCCCAAAGACTGGTCATGGTAGATCTCATTCACCTGCAGACACAGAGAAACACAAGATCAGCAGAAGAAACACGACGATAACTCATCCAATTTCTAAAAGGGTCTGTAAGTTGTATCTCATACTATAATAACTTAGAAGTGCTTTTGAGTTGCTGGGTTATGATGGTGGTAATCCCTTAAATTAATTAGTTATTAAATTAAATATTTTCTCATTTTGTAATAAACCATCAGGTCTGATGTTATAAATGTGAGAAAGTCCTAAATAAAATGCTCTATAATAATCCGTCACATCAATTGTAAATGTAAATGTACACCTTTTATAATGGATTCATGAGGACTAAACATGAATAGAATCAGTAGTTACAAAACATAAAGCTGCTAGAAAGGGTGTGTTATTGGAAAGAGCAAAGGGGAAAGGAAGTTGAGGGGAGAGCAAAGAACTCTGTTTACCATAAGCACAGATTGAGAGGAGATGAAGGAGAGAAGATGCAAAGGAAAGAAAGGAGCCTAATGCAAGGAAACAAGGTAACGTGTAACAAGGGAGATGCAGAGAGCATTATACTAGCAAAACACACACAAAGACACCCACACATACAGAAAAGGAGAAAGAGAGAAAGAGAGAGAGAGAGAGAGAGAGAGAGAGAGAGAGAGAGAAGGGTAAATTGGCGCAGGAGTTAAGGCCTGCTGTCCTCAGTGGCTGTGTGCGGTGCCTAATGAGGCAAAGGGATGTAAAAACAGACAGCCGTAATGAGATGGCTGATGTACACGCTGTGGAGAAAGAGACACACAGACTGCAAACACACACACACACACACACATACATATTACACAGAGGTACAGAGAACACAATTGAAGACAAACCAAGCGAGAGAAAGGTAGAGAGTTGAGGAGTGATACGGATAGAGACAGAGAGGCAGAGGGAAAGAGACAAGAAGCTGCAGAGAGAGGAGAGGGAGAATATATTCTACCGTTTCTCACCCATCTCATCAACACTTCTCTAACTTCTGGTCACTTTC